TCATGGACAGGGCACTGGAGGCAGAACATCGGGAGGAAGAGGAGGATTTCCTGTCCTCTCAAGGCCCCCTTTATGCAGAAACCATTCCTGTGGGGCTGCAGAACACACATCAGGAGGAGGAAGTGGAGGAGGAGGAGGATTGCAGCAGCATGGAAGTAGAGGATCACATAGAGCAGTATTCAAGGGACACTTTTCAGTCCCAGAACCCAGCCAGGACTAGTACATGTCTGGGAGGAGGTAGTTCCTGACAATGTCATCCTCAGTGACCCAGAGGACTCAGAATCTCCTGCCTCCTCAAACTTACACTGCATGGGCTCCCTGATTCTGCAAAGCCTGTGTAAGGACCTGAGGATTTGTTATCAAGAAGAGGGATCAATACTGGTTGGCAACCCTTCTTGATCCACGCTACAAGGGTCAAGGTGCAGAGCTCATCCAGTCTTCCCAGAGGGAGCAGAGGATGAAACATCCTGAGGATGCCTTGAAATTGTGTAACACCTTTCCAGACACTGGGAGGTCACCATTTCCTGGACAACGTGTTTCTGAGGCTTCATTCTGTCAAATGAAGAGCGGTGGAGAAGGCGGCCAGCTGACCGATTAAAACAGTTCTTTAGTCATCAGTGCCCAGGGCTGTTAGGTTTGAGCACCCATCGGCAGGGTCTGCATCATATGGTGCAGGATTATCTAGGGGCAAGAACAGACTTGGAGACCTTTCCAACTGAGCATCCACTGGGTTACTGGGTCTTGAGGATGGATCACTGGCCAGAACTTGCTCAATATGCCATCAAGGTACTGGCCTGTCCTGCACCCAGCGTGCTTTCTGAACAGACATTCAGTGCTGCTGGAGGTTTTGTGATGGATAAAAGAGTGCGTCTGTCCACAGACTCCGCTGACCAGCTGACATTTATCAAAAGCAATCAGTCCTGGATCAACAGCAACTATCTTGTCCCTGATGCTGATATAACTGATTCCATTTGTTAGGGATCTGGGATCCCTTGAAGATTGTCTATGTTGCCTATCTTATTCCTCAATCATGATTTTGCTAGCTTCCAACAATTTTTTTTGGTTTAGGGCACCACCAACACCCAAGGCCCAATTTTTCGGCACCTGTTTTACAGGTGCATGTTATTGAAATTTTTTTTTTTTATCATTTATCTGTAATTGTTAACTGTTTTTAACTGCTGAGCCTACAGTGTTCACGCACCACCAACACCCAAGGCCCAATTTTTTGGCACCTGTTTGACAGGTGCATCTCATTTAAATTTTTCACCATTTTTCTTTAATTGGTAACAATTTTAAACTGCAGGGCCCATTCCTGTGCCCAGCAATAGTAACTGTGGGGGGTTACAGTGTTCAGGCACCACCAACACCCAAGGCCCAATCTTTCTGCACTTGTATGACAGGTGCATATAATTAGACTTTTTAGAGCCGGGTCCAATCCTGCACTCATCAAGAATAACTGAAGGGTTACGGTGTCAGTCCTGCTGCAGCAGGTTCTATACATTGTACAGATCTGCAACTTTTGCAGGTAGTTTAAGGGGACCCCCAGGCATGATATTGAAAGGAATATATTTTTTTCTATTTTACATTAAGCAATGAGAAATGACTGCCCCTTTAAAAATGGTACTCTTTAAAAAAATGTTTTTCCCTGATTTATGTCCCTCAGGGCAGTCCCCGAGTCCCCATACCACTTTTATGGCCAATACCGTACATATAAGCCTTCAAATTGGGCACTTTTTGAATTTGCATGTTCGAGTCCCATAGACTTAAAGTAGGTTCGATGTTCATGAACTTGGTCTGTTTGAATGTTTTACCGTGAACCGTACCGACCCATAACTACCAGCGTGCACCAGAATGAGTGATTGCACAATTCCATACACAGGAATGCGCACCAGAATGAGCATGCACATTAGTATTAGCAGGTGCCCAATTTCTGCACATTCAGGGCACTGCCTGTGCACAGACGTTCATCCAGAGGAACCAGCTCATCTACAGGCATGCCCTCCCTGATGGTTTGGTTTAATATTGTTGGGTTAATCCCCTTATATCCTTTAGTGTCTACTGTACTCATAAGTGTGTAGCACTACCTTCCTGTCATGGGTATCCCTAAGCTTCCCTCTGCAGTCAGGCAACAGGTATTTCTTTCACACAGACTTGCATCCAGAGACAGTGACCTGTCCATGGGCTTGGTTTTGTTATTTTATTAGGGGAATTCAACTTGGATAGGGAAATAGGGATTATGGAATGCCCAAAAGTCAACAGAAGGAGGGCACTTCCCTCCTATGTACAAAGCAGACCCTGGACTGTTCTTTACCTGGCAGCCGTCAGCCATAGCGGATCAGTAGCAGGTGCCCTTTATGAGCGAGGAACTAGCAGCCCCTCAAAAATCAGCTTAACCTCTTGTAGCTACATGCAGGGATGTCTCCTTTCCTCTCCACAAGCTGCTCCCAGTTCCACAGCATGCAAGTACTACCAGCTCCTGACTTCTTGGAAGATCTCCCGGGACAAGGATAAAGGATTGAGCCCAGCGCTGTAATCAGGACGCTTGCTACGTGTGGCAGTCTTTCTCCTTGTAGATCCCACAGAATGCTGCTGTACTCACACTGTCCTCTTTGCTCTGCTGCTTCAGGTCTCAGTCCCATTTACTCCTTACTGTTGGATGTGTCCTCCTGAGCCAGCCCGAGCCCGGCCTGGAGGCTGCCCCCGCCAGACCTAAGGGGTCTCCTCAGAACTCCATCTTCCACCCGACCCCTCTGTCAGCCTGACTCTCCCATATTGATAGGCCAGTCCACCACTCTACCAGGGCCTCTAAAGCTGGGATTGGCCATACTCTCCATGAATATGTAGGTTAGGCCTCTACCCCATCCTGCCCACCGATTTCTGGAAGGGTCTATGGTCCTCCAGGGTCAGGAGGAGGTGATAGAGCCACAACCTGTGGAGTCATCCAGCTGACCTGCAATAACCCGACAACTACTATGAGTCTGGAGACATTCTTTGACAATTCCTTTATTGAAACACCAAAAAAAACCCATCCCCCGAAGTAGATCTAACATCAGTCACGATGCCCACCACCTCTACCATAGTCCTGAGCTCAGATCCACTGTGTAGATGACTAGTGGCAGGTCGATGAGTACCCGTCTCATCAGCTCAGGTATTTCTTTCACACAGACTTGCATCCAAAGACAGTGACCAGTCCATGGGCTTAGCTTTGTTATTTTATTAGGGGAATTCAACTTGGATAGGGAACTGGGGATTATGGGATGCCCAATTGGCTTGAATCAATGGAAGGGGGACACTACCCTCCTATTGGGCAGCACAGTGACTAAGTGGCACTTATGCCTGGCAGTACTAGGGTCACCGGTTCAAATCCCAACCACGGCACCACCTGCCTGGAATTTGTATGTTCTCCCTGTGCCTGCGTGGGTTTCCTCAGGGTACTCCAGTTTCCTCCCACACGCCGAAGACATGCTGGTAGGTTAATTGGCTCCTGTCTAAATTGTCCCTAGTATGTGTATGTATGAATGTGAGTTAGGGACCTTAGATTGTACACCCCTTGAGGGTTAGGGACTGATGTGAATGTACAATATATATGTAAAGTGCTGCATAAATTGATGGCGCTATATAAGGACCTGAAACAAATTAATAAATAATGTACAAAGCAGATCCTAGACTTTTCTTTTCCTGAAAGCCATCAGTCCCTGCAGATCAGGTCTCGATCCCATTCACTCCTTACTGTTGAATGTAACCTTCTGAGCCAGCCCCCCTCAGACCTAGGGGACCCTACCCAGGCACCGACAGGCTCCTCAGCACTCCCAACCCCTCTGTCACCCTGACTCTTCCATATTTATAGACCAGTCCACCAAATCTGAAAATGGCCAGACCCCCATGAATATGCAGATTAGGCCTCCACCCCTTCCGGTTTACTGACTTCTGGAAGGTTCTATGGTCCTCCAGGGTCAGGAGGAGGTGATAGAGCCACAACCTGTCGAGTAATCCAGCTGACCTGCAATAACCCGACCTCAATCACAGGCTCAAACAACTACCATGAGTCCTACACAATGATTTTACCTATGATACACTATTTCTAGTAGCACATTAGAGGGCGCTACAAGTACAGGAGTAAGATCTCAGGAATCTGTATGAAACCCGGCCTGACAGGAAACGAAGGGGTCTAATTATAATTCATAGGATGAATGTGACAATCACTTATTCAGACATTACAAATTCTGGCCATTTTGTTCCTAGAACAGTGATTTCCTATGATAAGCAGCGCCACCTAGTGACCATAATGAAGTACTTTTCCTGAAATACCTCCATCAGTAAATGATCACACTATGATATTATGGTCACTAGATGGAGCCAACGATGTGATGAAATAAAATATGACCACCACTCGTTACAGCTGAGCGAATGACAATCACCTTTATTCAACAATCAGAAGAAAAAATAAACCTCCAAGTGTTTGTGAAATCTCCCACCACAAAAATGTACTCAGCCAATGACAGGTCAGGACTCCATTTTTATTCTTCTCCTGCTATCAATGGCCAACCCGGTCCCACACTTCATCCATGTCTTTGGGGACCTCTGATCTCCTTATGAACTGTTTCTTCCATGATGAAGATCAGCCATGGAGTATATCTGAGGTGTATATCAGGGTGTGCTTCTTCCCCACATGAGAGCTGGGATGTCCAGCAAACATTCATCTAGAAGACATTTCCCCACGCACTCAAGGCACTAATACACCTCCAGGGTTGTGTGGGACCCCTGATGTACAGGAAGACAGGACTTCAGTGAGGAACATTTCCCTCACTCAGGACAGGAAAGTGGCTTCTTCCCCGTTTGAGATCTCTGATGTGTGTAAAGATGGGACTTGTCTGAAAAACATTTCCCACACTCAGGACAGGAATACGGCTTCACTCCTGTGTGGGTTCTCTGATGTGTGTGTTAAGATTGGATTTATCTGAAAAACATTTCCCACACTCAGGACAGGAATTCCGCGTTTCTCCCTGTGTGAGATCTCTGATGTGTGTAAAGATTGGACTTTTGTGAAAAACATTTCCCGCACACAGGACAGGAATATGGCTTTTCACCCGTGTGAGATCTCTGATGTGTGTAAAAGATTGTATTTATCTGAAAAACATTTCCCGCACTCAGAACAGCAAAGTGGCTTCTCTGCCGAGTGAGATCTTTGATGTATTGAAAGACAGGACTTCTGGTGAAAAACATTTCCGCACTCAGGACAAGAATACGGCTTCTCCCCGTGTGAGATCTCTGACGTGTTACAAGTTTAGATTTTTCTACAAAACATTTCCCACATTCAAGGCAAGAATATGGCTTCTCCCCCGTGTGAGATCTGTGATGTCTGTAAAGGTAGGAAATATGTGAAAAACATTTCCCGCACTCAGGACAGCAATGCAGCTTCTCCCCACATGAGATATCTGGTGTGTGTAAAGATAGGACTTCTGTGAAAAACATTTCCCGCACTCAGAACAGGAAAGTGGCTTCTCCCCCGTGTGAGATCTCTGATGTCTGACAAGATTCGACTTTTGTGAAAAACGTTTCCCGCACTCAGGACAGGAATATGGTTCTTCCCCCGTGTGAGACCGTTTATGCCTATTAAAAAGGAATTTAGAATGGAAACCCTTCCCGCACTCAGCGCAGGAGAAGCTCTTCCCTGTTGGAAGGCCGGCCGGGTCCCGAACAGTCTGAGGTTCCTCAGGATACGAGGAATCCGATGGTCCATCTACACTGGGTGGTGCTGGATGGACATTGGAGGGAGCCGGGTTTTCTCCTGGACTATACTGTTGTGATGTCCTCATCTTCTACTTTCCAGTCTGGAGACAAAGTGAGACAATCCTCGGAGGTTTTCCTCATCTCCCGGCCATGGACTAAAATACAAAGACAAAGAGGATTACTAGACAGGAGCTGATTGGTTCCCCCAACCAGGACTCCGCCCACATCAGGCACCTTGGTCTCTGAGGAGCTTACAATTCCACCCTCAAGGGAACTAGGAAAATGGCTCCTCTGATCTCCTACAAGGTCATTTCTTTATTCATGGACCTTAGTCAGAGAGTGAGGAAACAACCAGAACTGTCTTTTATAGGAGGGACAGTGATGAGGGGATTATAGGACGAGGGTCCCCACCCCCTCTATCACTCATCACCATCTTCCCAACACAAGAAGTACTGCACTTCCTTATTTAGTCTATGATTTAGTCATGAAGAACAGCGGGGCTGAGCCCCACCAGAGGTCAGAGAGTGAGGATGGGGGTTGGAGAACAACCAAGATGAAGACATGGACTGATCCTGAAGACCACCATCATTGGGGTATTGACTCCTCCCTCATTATCACTTTCTGTTTTAAGGGGTTCATCCAAAGTTGGAGGATGTTATCACATTATTATCACCATGTAAAAGTCTGTGCTCCAATCACATCATCCGATATAAAATGTCCAGCTGGGGAGGAAATGGGGTAAAAAGAGCCTATGTAATTGTACAACTTATTATAGGATACAAATCTTAGGAATATACTGTATAGTACCAAAATGATATATTGTACATCATAAAGGTATATAGCGCAGGTTTAGGACTCATAATATTAATATTCCTGTATCATGAAATCCCAGGAATACAGGATGGGGAACACAGCTCAGGAAAGTGACCAGGGGCCAAGATTACAGGCTGAGATATCACCAGTCCCGCCCTACTCTGGACCAATCAGTGAGCAGTATGGGTGGAGGAATGGATTAGTGTTCATGACCCACCTGTGCTGATCTCTGTAGGAGTGTCCTCCTCTATAAATGTCCCGTTATTCCATCCTCCTTCATAGACTGCTGATCATCCTCACATACGCCTCTTACTTCTTCTGCTTTCACCTCAAATTCTATATCGATTGGATCTCTCACTCTCTAATCAAGGAAATGAGAGAAAATATCATCTGTAAAATATAAGGTTCACATAAACATCCACAACATTGTCTCTATGAGTCCATGTTCTAGATTCTCCATCCCACCAACCATGTAATAGTGAGGGATGGTGTGATCTTCCTGTGTTTGGAATCCTCGCGGAATACAGAGGACGGGGACATCTCTCTCTGGTGGGTTCCCATGACTGGATCCATCTGTAGCGAAATACACACACACTGACTGAATCAATTGTTTTCTACTGTGTTTATCAGATATGTGGGGTCTAGGTGGATCCTCCGTACTGCTCTCTCCTTTACAATAAAGTCTCCTCTTACCCGGTGATGTGAGGGGCGGCTGAATTGTCCATTCATGAACGTCCTTGTAGAGAGCGATCCTTGTGTCCTTTCCTAAATACTCCCACTCCTCCATGGAGAAATAGACAGTGACAACCCTGACGACACCTTATAGGAACCCTGACACACACAATGATACAGTCACCATCCAGAACACCATCCCTTGTCTGTTACTGGAGAATGTCCAGAGATTCCCGGCACCGCTCACCTCTCCTGTCAGCAGCTCCATCATCTTCTTGGTGACTTCTAGGATCTTCTGCATGTTGTGTGTCTCTCAGGGATTAGGGAGTCACATGGAGCACTGTGATGGTCATATGATCACCTGACTTCAGAAGAGGAAATCTCTGTATTGAGAAACCAATAGGAATATCATGTTAGACTCCCAGAATCCTCCTCACCTCTCTGGTCAGTGGTACTGTGTTTTATTAATAGAGATAAGAGTGATGTCATGTGACCTCCCAGAATCCTCCTCACCTCTCACGTCAGGTCTGTGTTTATATTAATAGAGATATAGAGTGATGTCATGTGGACCTCCAGAATCCATCCTCACCTCTTCCGGTCAGGTCTGTGTTTTATTAATAGAGATGAGAGTGATGTGTCATGTGACCTCCAGAATCCTCCTCGCCCTCTCCGGTCAGGTCTGTGTGTTTTATTAATAGAAGATGAGAGTGATGTTCATTGTGACCTCCCAGAATCCTCCTCACCTCTTCCGTCCTTGGTCAGCAGGTAGATGATCTCCAGGGTGAGGTTTAGTATCCTCTCAGTCCATGTGACTCTGGTCCTCCATCTTTATTGGTGTGGTCATGTGATCTATGTGGGGTTTCTCTGTAGACAGATGGCCAAAAATGATGTGAACTGTATTGTTGTGTACAATGTTTAGGATGGAATTGTATGTAAGGGGTTAATAGGCAGGCTGCCTCCTAGCAGGGAATTGGAACAGGTAGATTGTGGGTTGATTGGGGGGGGGGGCGTCTATTTATCCACATAAAAGGAACTTCCACATATTAGCAGAATCATTCAATATCCCAATCTACATGAAGGTCTCCTTTTGTTGCAAATTTTTTAGACTTTTTCCCAGCTTGATAAATTTTTCTTTTATCAGACATGGTCAGTAGTAAAATACCACACTGTGGCCACTAGATGGAGATGAGGAGCTCAGGAAATACATAAGTCTTTGTTACAGAGAGATACAATGTAACCATTTTGGAGACTGATAGAGGGAATAGCCAATTCAATGTAACCAATGGGTGTGCAGCATACACATTGTTGTAGAATATAGTTGTTGAAGACCCTATGCACAGAGCCCGCCATCACTTGCTGTGTGTAAACAGTGTGTACTAAAAAGGCCCCCACATCTCTACAAGTATACATAAAAGCCAGGCTGCCCATTCACCTCCATGAAACTACCCACAAAGACTGAGAGACCTCATATGGAGTTGCTGCACGGGGAGATAAAGAACGGGGTGAGGTTCCGGGAACTCACTCCCCCTCCACTCATCCGCCATGCCGGTCCCAGGCCTGCAGGGGGGGCAGAGGAGAGCCGGGGTAACATGGAGGAGGTAGTCAGGTGTGGGGGGAGGGTGTTGGGATCTTCAAGGGAAGGGTGTGGAAGTGTAAATGTCAGTTCCAACCCGAATCTGAACCTCATCCTCTTACAGGAGACGGCTACTAGGAGAGAAGGATGAGGAACCTCTCCACAATGAGGTTGAATGTTCGGGCCCGGAAGTGGGGGAATGTTTGCCCACCTGAAGGGGATAATCTGGCGTTCCCACATTATATATGTGTGTATCATCATCTGCTGGAGATAAAAGAGCGTGAGAGTAAGAGATCCTCACTCGGACATGACTATGGAGCGCTAGAGGACGGACATGGACTATGGAGGAAAGAGGAACGGACATGACTATGGAGGGAGAGGACGGACATGACAATGGAGGAAGACGAGGGATGGACCATGACTATGGAGGAAGAGGACGGACGTGACCTATGGAGGAAGAGAGGACGGACATGGACAATGGAGTGGAAGAGGACGGACGTGACTATGGATGGAAGAAGGAGACTGACCGTGGAACTATGGAGGAAGAAGGAAGCACGGCTGAGACTATGGAGGAAGAGGAACGTGTGGACTAATGGAAGGAAGAAAGGGACGGACGTGGACTATGGAGGAAGAGGACGGACGTGACTATGGAGGGAGAGGACGGCTTTGACTATGGGAAGGGAGTAGAGACGGACAAGACTATGGAGGGAGAGGAACGGACGTGACTATGGGAGGGAGAGGACGGACCGTGACAATGGTAGGAAGAGAACGGACGTGGACTATGGAGGAAGAGTGACGGACGTGACTATGGACGGAAGAGGAACGGTACATTTGACAGGGGAATTAACTGAGGTGTAAATTAGAACCATAAAACATCATATTACCTTCCTCTGCTGCACTTTCCAGCTACGTCAGATCTCTACTTTCTGCCTGACAAACACTTCCCTGTCTGTACCCTGACATCCACTTCTGTCTTCCATAGAGACTTCCTGTGTGTGGTAGAAGAGAGATCCCCACCTTGTGGAGCTCAGAGGACAACTGCTAGCCCCGAGAAGCGTCATGTTAGTGTTGACCCCTGGCCTTGTGCCTGGGTGTGATATGGACTGTATGCATCCTATATAGAAGTGGTCACCATCCACGTCTTCCCACCAATGATGGACAGAAAATATATTGACTGCCTAGTCCCCCAGCCTCTCTCAGCCAGGGTTCCTCCAAAGGTTTCTAGGGGTCCTTTTCTGCAATGAACAATTCCCTGTCTATCAGCTTAACAACCTGACATCAATGATCTCGTAAGGGGGGACCGGTCTTCCCACCAAATGATGTAAGAATGACCAACTATATCAGGGGGGTCACATCTCCCATTGAGTCACCACAATGTAAAAGCGACCACTACACTGGCCCACTAAGTAGGATATGGGTCCAACACAACCCCTCTGTTCGGTTCGTGGTAGGAATATTTTTGAACCTACCTGACAGTTTAGACTGTGATACTTTGAACCCTGGGGGACAGTTCAACATCTTCCTGCATCTGAGTATATTGGTGAGATCCCGACTCAGCTACTACAATCCGGGTATTAGTTTTTCTAATGATAGAAGTACACGCCGTATTTTACTGGTGCGACATCTTCATTCATGTTTTC